CACGTAAGCCTTGTGGACAATATAGCAGACTGGGGATAGATGATAATATTAAGTTGGATTTAAAGCAGGTTGAATGATTGAGTCCAAAGCATATGTTAATGTCTTGTTGTCAACTTGGAAGGTCTCGGTGGAGTGTACCAGTGACTTGTCCTTGACCAACCTTACCTTTGTTGTTGAACATTTTTATTAATGACTTGTTTGAAAGACTAGAGTGCATGCTTACTGTATTTGCAGAAGATGCTGAACTATGAGGCATAGGAAACATATTAGATAACAGAATCAGGGTTACAAGAAATTCTCCAAAGGCTGGGACACTGGGCAAGCTAATGGAATAAACCTAGTCAGGATTAACATATAGTCTTATGATTAGGATCAAAAAACTCAACTTCATAAGTACAAAATAAGGAGGCTAATGAGCAGTTAGTTCAACAAAAGACAATATTTCTAAGCTCAAAGTGAACTGTCCAAGTATAGCACAAGTTCGTAAGATTTTTTTATAGTACATGGACAGACTGTCTATAACATAGGAGGAGATAGTATCTCTCTGCACTCAGCCATGGTAAAATCACAACTGGAGTATTATGTTAAATTATGGGTATCACATTTTAGGAAAAAATTCTGACAAGCTATGTATGCTGTTACTAAAGAGAAGTAACCAGGATGGTAAGGAGCCTTGAGATAATGTCACACAAAGATTAATTGAAAAAATTTAGATATGTTCTCTGAGGAAGAGGAGAAAATAATGATAGCCAACATTTATATAATAGCTGCTATGTTTCAGGCACTGGCTAAGTGCCTTACGAATATTATTTCATTCAAATCAACAACTCCATGAGGTATATACTATGGGTATTATTATCACATTTTAATATAGACATGTGGTAGGTATAATCTGATCATAATAATTATTATTTATCTAACATTTTAATGTTTGTAAAGCACTTTACATATATCATTCCAATCAACAACACCATGATGTAGATACTATGAATATCATTATCTTCTTTTACAAATCAGGAAACCAAGACTGAAAGTTGTTAAATCCCTTGCTTACCAGCTAGTATTGTGAGAGATGAGATCTGAACCCACATCTTCCTAACCTCAAGTCTATTACTCTATCCCCCTACCATGCTGTCTCAGATAAATGATCTTCAAGTATTTGAAGAGAAACTATGCTTGTTCTACTTGGCCTGAGAGGGAAGAACTAGGAGTAAATAGATGGAAATTGAAGAGAGATTGATTTTGCCTCAATGTAAAGAAAAAGTTCTGCTAATTAGAGCTATTGAAACCTGCAATGGGCTGCTTTGGTAAGCCAAGGATCCCTTTCATTTGAATTCTTCAAGCAAACTCTGGATGGCCTCTCATTGAGGATATTGTAAGAGAAGATTACTGTCCATATATGGATTGCATCAGACATCCTCTGAGATTTCTTTTAACTCTGATTCTATGGCTTTCCATGTATAAAATGGACCTAAAGGCCTGGAAATGTTTTTTTTTAATCTATTAACTCAGAAAAGTTTTTAACTGACCCATAGAATTTTCACCAGCCTTTTGCACATTGACCAGCACTAAACATGACATGTCTGGATGATACTGATATTATAGGCCATAATTTCATTTTTTCCTCCATTGTAATTTTCTTCTTGTGCTTCAATTTTGCATAGAGGTGACCCTAGATGGGTTCCCTAAAAATAAATCAATAAAGCACAGCTTATAGTCCTGCCAAACTATAGAAGTGAATTTAGGCCTAGCAGAAAATTTTTATTCTAGGAGGTGGCTAACAGTGCAGAGAAGCTAAAAGGTTAGCCACTAAGTCATGAACTGCTTCACCCCAAGAACTCATAAAACCATGTACTAAAATCTAGAGAGAATATAGTCTAGACTGTGGAAGGATTGCTCACGTTGATGAGATCACATAATTTTTTTGAGTATTTTCTGCCCCCCCCACTTATCTCCCTTCCCTGTCCTTTCAGTATCCTGAACCTATGGGTGGGATGAGTCCGCAGGGGAGGGAATAAGCAAGGAATCATATTTGTGATTGGATCCTTCAAGGGCACAATATAATTTGATATCTGCTCTACAACATACAGTCTCAGAGAGTTTCCTGGACCACTCAGCTAGGACATGTCAAAGGCAGGAATTGAACCCACATTTTCCTTACTTTGAGGTCAGCTTTCTATCCACTGTGTCATTGCTACCTCTCATAGATTGGAACCTATACACACCATAAAAGATTAGAACTGGGATTTACCTTCTAGCTCAATTGCTGTACTTTAAAGATAAGGAAACTGAGGTCCAGTGAGGTTAAGTGACTTGCCCAAATCAAAATCAAAAAATAGTAAATTGAAGAACCAGTTCTAAACACCACATTTCCTGACCTTGATTCAGTGTTCTTTCTAGTAGATAGATCAGTCTGACTCTTTAGGCTAAATGGAATACTTGGACTAAGGGTCCTTATGAGCTTCAGGGGAGAATTGTGAGAGATAATGAGTTAATAGCTATGATGGTCTGCAAAATAAAAATGATGCATAAATACCAAGTGTTACTGAGATTTACATTTTTGTGAACCAAACGTACTATCTCCCTGCCCAAAAGATTCATAAGAATATTTAACACCCGTGTATGTACCAGATGGATTGTAATGACAGATGATGGGTCCTTCTTAACCCTTACGTTCTGTTTTCAGAATCCACATTTCAAAACAATTCTAGTTCTTTGTTAAGATTTATTGTGTAAAAGCTTAGTATACACCCTGAAATTTTACCAGCTAGGACTTTAGAGACCTTTAGTGAATGTGTCATTTATTCATGAACACACCTGATATACTTACAGAAATGTAAGCAGGTTGATGATGACACTATCAGAAGGCTATGTATGTTTATCAAATATTAAATATATTTCTATATAGTTGTAATCTAATAGTTATGGTGTATAGGATTATTATGATGTATAGGATATATTTCAACATCTCTAAGTATTTACAAAAGACTCAAGACATATAGAGATCAAATATGTTCATAGCACATAGTCATAGAGAACAATGTAGAATGGGAATCAAAATTAAATAATTACTAGTTCCTGTGGAAGAGACTTTGGTGGAGAGAGGGTCAAAGAAAAAGAAGAATAAGGGAAAAGAAACTTGTTATGAAAGCATTATAACCTCACTTTAAAAAAAAAAGGTGGGATTCCCCTAGAAGATAGAATACTTCTCATTTCTAGTAAAAGTAGTAGCAACAGATTCATGGTAGGGGTCCAGGTGGCCCCACCAATTACAAAATCCCCAGAATTGTAAAATGTATATTTATCATCTCATGTCAAAATATTCATTTTAATATTCAAACATTTATGCCACATAACAAACTGTAACCATATGTTTATTTGTTATATTATACCACTATAACATAAATAAATATTTACAGAAAAGCAATTCAGTCATAACAATATTAGAAAAGGTTCTTTTTCCTAGTTTGCTTTTTTAAGGAGAAGACATCAGACACATAGAAACTCATTTTAAATAATGTTAAGTTTGTTAGATGTCGACAAGAGCCAAGGAGTTCAATATTTTAAGGCTGACACTCCCCCTTTTAACTAATGTTGTTTTATTTAATTTTTCCCCAATAGTGTGCATTAAAGATGGAGTGTTATCTCGGCTTTGAATTTCCTGGATTTATATCACAGCTTTAGCTTTATTTGAATGTACTATTCAGTATTTAATAAAGATGAGTTACACTGTTGAGCTTTCATTTAAGCAGACACTTTGGAACATAGTCCTTTTTTTTCCTGAAGTTGGTTGGGATTTTTTTTTGGGGGGGAGGATTTGTAATACTGAGAAATTTTAGACTGTTAAAACATTTATCAACATATTTGATTTAAATTTCATAGTTAAAATGGCAAGAATAATTAATTGAAATACAGTATTGAAATATCTGAAATTTATTATTATTTCTTTATAAAATATCTCATATAACTAATCGACAGCCATCATTGAAATAAATGAAAATAAATTCAAGCACCCTGGCTTATAAACACTACTTCAGTTATAGATTTTGACAGCTGAGACTAGCCCTAGACCTACATTTAGGAGACAGGAAATTCAGTATAAAACATTGACTTTTCCCTTTAACATGTCAGGAGATTGACTTGAAGAACTCTTTACCTAGATGGAAAAGCTAGCAAAAATTTATACCTGAAATGAGAAAGAACCTTTTCTTGATTATTAGTTATTGACTCAGTTTCCTAATTTTTGACATTTTGTCACTAGTAAGAGCGTTGATAATATAACATTAAGCTCAACTGTTTTTAATTTTCTTTTAGCATATGTTTTAGCAAAAAATTCCTCCATATGTTAAATTTCAGTGTAATATTTCATCTGTGTGGTACTATAACTAGATTTTTTTTAAGTTATCAAAATGAGCAGAGTACACAAATGCTCATAATCACTGTTTTTCCAAAGCAACTTTAGCTATGTTCTCTTTACTACCACCACCCTTTTTTTTTCTCAAGAGCATATAATTGGGAATGGTGGGACACCATTACTGTCATGAAATGTATTATGTTCAGTCAAAATTAGGGATTTGTATTAAACAATTGTTTCAGGATCACAGGTTCCAAAATCACGGGACAACATCCTGATTTCTTTTTTTTTTCTTCCTACTGGTAGAAAAGAGGATGTTACAATTGATTACTTTCATTTTATTCAGTTGACATTGTCTCTAACTTGAGTAGCAAAGTACCTATGGCCTTCAATATCAAATGACTTCAACCTTTTTACTTCTGTCATTAATTGATTGAATCTCATTTTGAAAGAGTTTCCCTCTTTGTCATTATTAAACAAGAACCTTCTTTTGTTGACTCACTGTATCTGTATAAAATTTATTTTCCTTAATATAACATGTGATGTATCAGTCTTGAATTACTGGACAGCTTGAACCTCTCTCGTACAAATGAATCTGTCTTACATCCTGTGTCAAGGTTTGAACTTTCCAAATTATGTATTTCAGACGTTGAGAAAGAAGGGACTTAATGGTTGTGACAGTCCAGACCCTGATGCAGACGATTCAGTAGGTCACAGCCCTGAGTCTGAGGACAAGTACAGGAAAATTAATGAAGATATTGATCTAATGATCAGCAGGCAAAGATTATGTGTAAGTACCAAGAACGCCCTTCGTTTTTTTTTTACTTCTGATATTTCTCTGAACCTGGCAGGCATTGAACAAGAAAGAAAACAAAGGCTGTGAAAGCCCCGATCCTGACTCTTCTTATGCACTCACCCCACGCACTGAAGAAAAATACAAAAAAATAAATGAAGAGTTTGATAATATGATCAAGAGTCATAAAATTCCTGTAAGTACCAAAGGGAGATGAGATGACTGGTCTGCTGACAACTGCTGCAGTAACAAACCTTAACCCCTTCAGTTCTGGCTTACTCTAGTCAGTGTCTGAGAGAAAAACAAAAAAAAATTGCCCACATACAAAGAAAAAATTTGTAGAGCATTTTAAGGCTTGCAAAGTGCTTCATATATATCTATATCAATATTTTCTCATTGCCAAAGATAGCTCATTTTCTAAGTATCCCTTGAATATGAGCATCCTTTGACTTGAAGTTATTGTAGTCTAAATAGTAGGGATTTAGGAAGCACATTTTAGGGCTGAAATAGGGATGTGACCTATGACTAAATTGTCATGAGGAACTCTGGGATGCAGAGACACCCTCTATCTATTAGTATCTTTCCTATAACTTTTAGTCTTAGAAAGCCGTCTAGAACACTGAAAGGTTAAGTGACTTGCCCAGGGTCACTCAGCCAGCATATATCAGAATAGGGACTTAAGCCCAAGTCTTTCCTGACTCTGAAGCTGGCTCTTGATGCCCTATAAAATGTTGCCTCTCCTAGAAGGAAGTTAAAAGTCAAATACGACATCCCCCGGCTTTATATGACTCTTCTACCATAAAATGTACACCATTAATATAATATACTGAAGGAAAATACTGGAAATCTTCCTGGGAACAAGTTGAAAATATTTTCAGTGTTCACATGTAACCAAGACACTAGCAGAATTAAAATTCTCTCAACTCACCTAACAAAGACATAACACAAACATCCTTCTCCTAATGAGACCAGATCCTAGGGCTCTACGCTAAGCTCAGTAACAGCACTGAAGGGTTAAAGCTATTTGCTCGCTGCAGAGAAACAGACTGCATGAAAACCTTATAGTAAAATTTGCACCTGTCTGTGTGCTGGGGTGACATAAAGCTTGATCAGGAAATTTGCTTCGCCAACATCACCATTTTCCATGCTTTAACATTTGGCTAAATTTTGTCTTAACTAAGTCAAAATCTCTAACAGTCAGTCATATGCCTTGCCAGATACTTGAGAAATAACTCTGCATGTGCTATTTTGTTTATATACCAAGGTAGAAAAAAACAAATGCCCTGATTAAATATTGTCACTATCCAAATAATGTTAAGTTTGTGATATAAACTGATGAAATTCAAAGCTGACATGCTTTTTTGAATGTCTCTTGTTAATGTCACAACCTTAATCTTATTTAAACTTCATAGGTGGTAATTAGTTTCTCTTAAAAAGTACCTTTTCATTTAACAATAGCAGCCTTAACCTGAAGAAGGAGATAGACTGGTCTCTGTGGTGAGAACGTGCTAGACAATTAGTATCTATTAATGCCTATTCTAGGAAAAAAACTCCAAACCAAATAAGTTCATAACTTAATTAGTAGCTATTTTTGATCATATTTATCATATGGATGCCCATTATAATCATAATTTCTGGTTAAGTGGATTTTATGTCAACAACAGAATTTTTATCTAGTTGGACTTATACTATATATAAGATAATATAAAGTAACCTAAGCTTTAAGATTTTCTAAAAAAAAAATGAAAACTACTTATAGAAGCTTTGCAGTAGAAATTTTACCAAGTATAGTTCTCTGCATCAAAGAAAGGCATAGAAAATGGAAGTCTTCAAAACGTTAAATTTGGTTAGCTATCCATAAAATCAATTCTGCTGTAGGGAAAGAGAACTAGAGGTCCAGTGTTTATCAGTCTTCATATGGGAGTCCCTCCTACCCATTATGGTACCAGTTATGTGCTGAACTACATAGAGATTTTGAATTGTCTAATACCAGTCGTAGGTTTACCAGTCAGAGGACCAATTATCCCACTCTAGAAAAGGATAATGTGCTAATCCCTGTTCCAGGTGTACCTTTTCCTTTGTCCTCTATTTCCTGTATACATTTTCTATTTAGGAAAATCCTGGATACATCCTGTTTGGTGATTGTGTAAACCCTGATAAGCAGAATTACTTAGATCACTTTGTTGCTTTATGTACAAGTGCGGGTGCACTTCATCTCTAAACATGCAAACAGTGGATAAAATATCTCTGTATTCTCTCACTACACAGCTTCCTTTCTCACATAGAATAAAAAAATCATGCTGCATAATTTCTCAGAAGTCCAATAATGGATAGCACAAGAGTCAAAGTCAAATTTGATTAATTAAAAAAATATTCATTAAACATTTGCTGTGTTCTGGGTACTGTGCAAAACACTAGGTAATTTTGTCATTTATTATATGTATATGTGTTGTTTCTCCTAATAAAAAGTAAGTTCCTTATTTTTTACTTTGTATCACCAGTGCCCAGCAAAGTGCCTAGCAAACAGTAGGTGCTAAATAAAACTTGTTGATTGGTTGATAAAGATGAATGAAACGTGGTCATGGCTATAGAAGAATTTGTAATCTACTTTTGTAAAACCTATCCCAATCTGTCCCACCACCTCTATTTACAGTTACTTTACAAGTCCTAGTTGGCACTCATCTTTATTTATTCCTATTTATACTTATACTTATTCTAACTGCCTCTGAACAAGGCTTCCTACTTCCATTCTCTCCAGCCTCCAGTCCATTCTTCACACTGCTGTCAGATTTTTCTTCCCTCAGTATAGATGTGATCATGTCATTACTTTATTCAAACTTCTTCAGTGACTGTAATACTTTCCATAAGAGATTCAAACTCCATAGCCTGGTATGTGTGGCTGTCCACAGTGTTCAGTTGTGTCTGACTTTTTTGCGATGCCGTTTGGGATTTTCTTGGCAAAAATACTGGAGTGGTTCACCATTTCCTTCTTCAGCTCATTTTACAGAGGAGAAAATTGAGGCAAACAGGGTTAAGTGACTTGTCCAGGGTCAGACAGCTTGTAAGTATCTGAGGTCAGATTTGAACTCAGGAGAATGAGTCTTCCTGACTCCAGGTCCAACCCTCTATCCACTGTGCCACCTAGCTGCTCATTCTATCATTCCAACCTTATTTCACCTACTACTATTACTACTACTACTACTATTACTACTACTACTACCACCACCACCACTACTACTACTATTGTTACTGCTACTCCTACTCCACACACTCTCACACACTTACACATACACTACACACAAGCCAAATTGGACTACTTGCTATTAAAACACATTCCACTCTGTCCTGTTTGTGTGTCTTTACTCTCACTTCCCTCTATTACAGGAACTACCCTCCCCTCTCCCTCCAGTCTTTACTTATTGAAATTCGGTTCCTCTTTTAAGGATACTCAAGCTCAAATTCCAGTTCCTCCATGAAGCCCTCCCCCATATCCCCATCAGTACCCATTAATAATGATCCTTCATTCCTTGAAGTCAGTCAATCAATATTAGGCACCTACTTTGTGCTAAGCACTATACCAAGTACTGGAGGCCCAAGAAAGACAAAAGATGGTCCCTGCCCTCAGTGAACTCCAAGTCTAATGAGGGAAAACAACACGAAAACAATTCTGTACAAGATAAACTGGAGATAATCACCAGGGGGAAGGCATTAGCATTAAAGGGGACCAGGAGAGTCTTAAAAGGGAATACGGGATTTTAGTTGGGACTTAAAGGAATCCCAAATCGATCTTCATTTTTTGCTTTCCTTCTGCACTTATCATATATCATGTTATTTGATGGTTCTTTATGTAGACACCATTCCTTCTAGTAGATTGTGAGCTTCACGAAGGAGGTCATAATTAAAATAAATTATATAAGACCATATCTTAACGATCTTGGTTTGTCCTCAAGGTCCTGATGCAGTCCTCTTCATATTAAGCATTTAGCAAATATATATATATATATATATATATATATATATATTATATATATATATGGAAGTTTTTAGATAAGACTGGTACACAAATAATTAGAATCTATCTCAGAATATGATAAGCATATTGAAGAGATGCCAAACAAAACCCTATGAAAGAATCCAAGAATGAAGGGAAAACTTTCACCTAGGCCAGGAGTGGGGAACCTGCAGCCTCTGGGTCCTCAAGTGCAGCCCTTTGACTGAACCCTAACTTCATCCATGACTAGGGTCTTCATGGAGATGATAGCACCTAAACTGAGCCTTAAATAATAAGGGAATTTCAGAAAACAGGGAGAAAGGAAGTGGGGCAGTTTTAGGCATACAACATAGTTTAATCATTAAAATAGAAAAAGGCAGCAAGAGTGAAAAAAATGGTTATTTATCAGTTTGAGCAATTCCCTAAATTTAGGGGGCTGGAAGAGCAGCTATTGAAGAAGATAAATAAAATTAAGAGAGGTAGGAAGAGAAGCACAGGAATATCCCATTGTCAGAGGTAGCTGGGTGGCACAGTGGACAGGGTACTGGCCCTGGAGTGAGGAAGCCCTGAGTTCATAAACCAGACTCGGACACTTACTAGCTGTGTGACCCTGGGCAAATCACTTAGCCTCTACTATTAATATATGGCATTAAATATAATATAAATCTAATATATTGTATTATATAGCCTCTATTATTATAGACAGGTAGGAGGTTCAATGGATAAAGCACTGGGCCTGGAGTCAGGAATACCTGAGCTCAAAACCAGCCTCAGCATTTACTAGTTGTGTGACCTTGAGCAAGTCACTTAGCTCCTGTTTGCCTTAATCCACTAGAAAAGAATATGGCAAACCTCTCCAGTTTCCTTTCCCAGAAAACCTCAAATGGGGTCACAATGAGTCAGTCGCTACTGAAACGAATAAGTAACAACATGCTCTCATCACAGAAGCTACAGAAGGAGAGGATTTCAAGAAGGAGGTCATCCAGCACATCAGATACTGAGTAGA